TTGAAAATAAATCTGTATTATCCATAAGTGTAAATTGGTGGGATGGAAAAATAAATTAATTGTATCAATTTAATATAAAGTACTTGGGCCAGCAAAGAGTTTAATTTATTTATACCCTTGAGTAAAAATGTTTTCTTACCTCTGAACTAGAGTGTTAAAAAGGATTATTATATACCTACCTAATAGTATAATACCTAATCAAATTAATAATTGATATTGTTTTAGTTAACTTCTAATTAACTAATTGTTCATTTGTTCTGACTAAGTTCTAGTTATGTCAAAGATTATGAAGACAATGTTATTGATTTTTACGACTGTGATCTTAGCAGTATTGAGAACTCGGATGTTGAAGATAATCTACTGTTGTCTTTTGAAAATGATTCTTCAATAGATGATTGGTAATGTTTTTTATAAATACATTTTTTTTTAAATATTTTACCTCTATACTCTCATTACTTGCCTTGTCCGTTAACTCATGAATAATAAACTGACACAGAGTGTAGGTCCCACAATGTGAGATTGTGTATGGCGAGTACGCAAAAAAAACAGTCCACTACACTCTTACACTCATTTTACCCAGAGTCATCCCTGTGAAAGTGTAGGAACTAGGAGCAGCATTATCATATTTAGAATTTAACATTATATATTAGGTCACTGGTGTTCCTGGTAAGCCGTGGAGTGGTAAATAAAAAAATAGTAATTTATTGATTAATTGTAGAACATATTTTTATTTTTAGTTTCTGAGTAATAAATGTATTGGTAATGTAGTAAAATACATATTTTGAACCTAAGTTATTGATACTTTAATTATTTATTTTGCAATTAATAACTGTGTTATTTGATTCAATTTTTAGCATTTTTAATGAAAAAGGAGACAAATTGAAAAATGCAACTAATTCTACCAGTAATGAACAAACATGTAAAAATAGTTTAAAAATCCAAAATGTAGGTTCTCCTTCTGAGAGTCTTAATAATTTGACTAATGTAGAGACTCCAGTTTCATTAATTCATTCACCTAGTCATGAACATCAGAACAATAAGGTAATATTTTATTTTAAAAATAAGTATAATGTGTAAATAAGGAGTTTTCAATATTTTTTAAAAAATCTTATCTGTCTCATTTGTAACAAAATCCCATTTTATATGATTAAAAATGTGTTAAAAAATATGTGCTATGCTTGAAATGTTTTATTGACCTCAAATAATGACAAGGTTTGCTGCGAGTTACAGACTCCTGGTATAAAACATGAATGAATACATTAATTTATTTTATAGATTATGAGTACTAGTATATCTATGAAACAAATGGGAATGAATCCTGATACTGATGATAAGTTGGAAAGTTTTAACCACTCAGATGTCAAAATTGCTGCTTGTAATACAGTACATAGTATCAATGAATCTAACAACATTAATAGAATTGATTCTGATGATTTGTGTAAAGACCAAGGTGAATTAAAGAGTTAGTATCACCATCCAGCATTTATAAAATAATTTACTAACAACAAACCAACAATTAATTGTATGCAGGTAATTTTAATGAGGACCAGAATTTAGAAGTTTTATATGAAAATCATAATCAAAACAATGAAAATAAAACATATTCCGAGTATAATACACATCAGAATATAGAAAAGTCTCTAAGTCCATATAAAGATAGTGGATTTGAAAGTTCAAAAGTATCCAGTGTGAAAAATACTGAAAATGAGGAGATTACTAAAATAAATACAGTTAAATCTACTAGTTCGGATATAAATCAAAGTAATTTAAACAGTGTATAATACTATATTACCTACTGATCTAACCAGTAAGATATTCATACTTCAATCAATAATTGTATTTGCTTATTTTTAGGTGAAATTGAAAAAAAAAAATATTTAGATGAAATTATTAAGAATGAACAATTATTAAATAATTTTGATGAGAAATTAGATGTTAACGAATCGATCGTCTCACCTTATATATCTCAGTCTTTAGCAAAATCTACTAACCTTAAAAGTGCATTGGCAAAAAAAGCAGCTGCAAATATAAATATCCGCGATATGGGTGATAAAGGTAATATTATTTTGTTCATTCCTATATTAAATGATTTAATTTGTAGTTATAAATGTAATAATTTTGTTATGCCAGCCTTGTCCACTTATTTAACTCAACAAACAATGACATTGGATGTCTTAAAGGTTTTACATAAGTCTTTAGATACATGTCCATCATCTGGTGTATTAATGGAAGATCCCGAAGGGTTAGTTGTACCTCTCATGCCACATCAAAAACATGCCATTGCTTGGCTTATTTGGAGAGAAAGTCAGGAGCCACGTGGTGGAATTTTAGGTAGATAGTATACATTAAAAGTATTGATAATGATGTTCTATTAAAATAAATTGGTTATATTATGTTATAGCGGATGACATGGGTTTGGGTAAAACGCTATCCATGATTTCATTAATTTTAAAGTTAAAAGAAAAATTACAAGACAGCTTACTACCACTGGAAGAATCTATTGACAACAAAAGGAATGATTGTAATACTTTATTGAATTAATATCTAATTGAAATTTATACAACACAAATTAATGTAGTTTATGTAATGACAAACATTTTAAAGATAATGTTTACCTATCCATATTTTATCAACTAAGGGAAACCTTATTCCAAATAGATAATTTTCATAAGAAAAATATTTAATTTATTTTTATAGTTATCATTGGTGGAACATTGGTCATTTGTCCAGCTTCCTTGATCAATCAATGGGAAACTGAGGTAAAAACTAAATTGAAACCGGGACTATTAAAAGTTGGCCAATATTACGGAATAAATAGAAATTTTTCAGCTTTAGAGCTGGCAGAAAATGATTTGGTAATTACATCCTACCATGTAGTTATGTGGGATCATAAAATACGACAGAATTCAGTTAGTAAACATTTTATATAAATTATAAAGAATTTATCTTAGTTTAATCATATTGAAAATAATTTTAGAGTCCTTTATATAAAATAAAGTGGGATCGCGTTATTTTGGATGAAGGCCATAATATCAGAAATCATAAAACTCAAACTTCAGTTGCTGTATGTAATATTAAAAGTTTAAATCGATGGGCAATCACGGGAACTCCAATCCATAACAAGGAGGCAGATTTTTTTACTTTGTTGAAGTTTGTTCGTTGCAAGCCGTTTGATGATTGGCCTGTAAGTACAATAATGTATTTCTATTAGATTTCTAATTTTTAATTATTTATTATTTATAACCTATATATGTTTAAACAAATTAGTGTACATATTATGCACATTGTTATTGAATATTGCTACTTTTTGTGTGAATACAATAATTAGTATTTATGCCAGGTCTTCACACAGACAATAACATTAAATAAAATAGTTACTATGTATAAATACGAATTTTGATTATTCAGCCCATGTTGGGGAAGTTGAGTTTTTTAAAATTATTTTGAATTATTTGGAAATTGTAGCTGGTATATATAAAAAAAAATATTGATTTTTCCAAATTTGAAGGTCTGGAAAAGGTGGGTCGGCAATAATGATGATGCAGGGAAACACAGGCTTTCCTTACTCGTTAAAACATTAATGTTAAGACGAACAAAAACAGAGCTTACACAATTTACAACATTTAATTTACCTGTAAAAAAAATTATAACTATTGAAATTGAATTATCAAAAGAAGAAAGAAATGCTTACGAGAAATTACTCTTATTTTCAAGGTAATAATCGTCTTCATTTTATTGAGCCATAGTAAAAAAATAAGTGACTTATGTAATTTATTATTCCAGCAATCTTTTTGCTACATATCTATATGATAGAGCTGCTAAAGAAAAATTATTTGACCCAAGTATCAAAGTGCAATGTAAAGTTCAATATTTTCAAGGTAAAACA